GAAAGCAGACCACATACCCAAAGGCAGCAGCTCAGCTGCTCATAGTAGATTGCACCATGGAGTTGATTACCAGTCTCATCATGGGGAATACTATATCCAGCTGCCCAGCCACTCAACCAGGCCCAGCCAAGTTGACACACAACCTTAACTACCACAATGACATTTTAAACAAGTATATTCTAGAATTACATATTCTAGGTATAGTTGATAGACCATCACAATATTGTATCTGAGATGTCCACAAAGCAATTATTTATTTAAAAGTTTTATATTATTATTTATTGATCAGTAAACTGTTTAAGGATTTTATATCCAACATGATAGGGTTTTACCTCTATAGAACTTTTGCTTTATTAATACATTTTAGGAAAATACTTCAGGTTTTAGATGGACAAATAGGAAATAGACTTCCAGGTAGCATTTTTGCAGAGAACATCTAGTTGTCAGGAGCAGATTAGTGACATTAAATGGGAAGAGTTTTTAGAGAGTAGGGGTTCACAGGCCACAGTTTGACTAAAATGCCTGATTATTGTTTTTTAGTACTTTATTCATATTTTTGAATGTGGAAGAGATTAGTAGGTTAGGAAGTTCACTTTAAGCAAAACAGTTCTACAAATTACTGATAAATAAAGTAATCCATTTTAAAGGACTTTTAAAACTTGGTACTTCGTTGGACAGACTGCTTATTCTAGATGTCTAAATATTTTTAAACAGAAGTTACTTTTTTGTTGTTTTCTTTTAATCCAGATATTTATTGGGCATTTTTGGTAAGAGACTTAACATCACTAATAATATCTATGATTTTAACATTTTAATATTGTTTCAGTTATCTACTTAATACTTTTTAATGTTGGTAAAGTTTGTTTTTTAAAAAAAACCTTAATTTTTTATCCTTTTTATGTTTTGCTCTTTAAATAAGAAATGGACACACTTTCGATATTTAGAAGTTATGAACCCGGTGAACCAAACTGTAGAATTTATGTAAAGAATTTAGCTAAACATGTTCAAGAAAAGGTAAGTTGAAATTTATAAAAGGATTTATTATTTTACTTTTTCTTTTCCTCAACTTCCTCATTTTCCTTTTTTTCTTGAAATTCTAGGACCTTAAATTCATTTTCGGAAGATATGTTGACTTTTCATCAGAAACAGAACAGATAATGTAAGTGGCAGTCATAATCTCAATTTTTTTTTAATTGATTACAATTTTTTTGTTTTTTATTACTGGCTATGTGGTATTTGTTGCAGCTACTCAGCTCTGCCATTGTAGGATGGAAGTAGCCATAAAAATATGTAAACAAATAATCATGAGGGTCAGTGAAAGAAGTAAAACTTTATTTATTGAAACAAACCTGTTGCAAAATTCAGCCTGATCCTTGCTGTAAAGCAGAGATCCGTATTTGTGCCCATTCCAAAGAAAGGAAATACAGCATGTGGAATTATCAAACAATATCATGATCACATGCAAGTAAAATTTTCCTGAAGATAATTTAAAATCGGTTACAGCAGTAATAGAGAACTACCAGAAATTCAAGCTGTATTCAGAAGAGGATATGTAATAAGGCATCAGATGGATCTTGGCTGAAAGCAAAGAATACCAGAAAGATGTTTACCTGTGTTTTATTGACTACGTAAAAGCATTTGATTAGCGTAGTGCCTAAGGCACCTGACTGCTAACCAGAAGGCTGGCATTTCAAACCCATCAGCCAATCCTCCAAAGGAAGGTTGGGCAATCTTCTTCTGTAGCGATAGCACCTCGGAAACCCAAGAAGGGGTTGCTGTGAGTCGAGTCCAACTCGACAGCACATAATAACAACAGCAACATGTGGATCATACCAAATTGTAGATAACATTGGAAAGAAGGAAGATTGGATGATCTACTTCCATAGAGAAACTGCCTTGGAAACCCAAGGAGAGGTCACTATGAGTTGAATCAAATCGATGGCAGTGAGTTTGGTTTTGGTTATTTTTTAGACCCAAGCCATGATATTATCAGTAGCCTCACATGCATATGAAAACTTGACAGTAAATAAGACCACAGAAGAGTTGATGCATTTCAGTTGTTTTGTTGGTGAAGAGTATTGAATATCCCATGAACTGCAGGAAAAACAAACAAATCTACCTTGGGAAGTACACAGCCAGAATGCTCTTTTTGTTGTTGTTGTTGTTGTTGTTATTTGCCGTCGAGTCGGCCCCGACTCATAGCGACCTCTCCTTAGGTTTCCAAGGCAGTATCACTACAGAAGTAGATTGCCCAACCTTCCTTCCAAGGAGTGGCTGGTGGGTTTGAACCGCCAGCCTTTTTAGAAGGACTTTTCTCTTATACTTTGGTCATGTGATCTGGAGGAACCAGTCCCTGGAGAAGGATTTCATGCTTGGTAAAGTAGAGGGAGGAGCTCTGGTAGCGTAGTGCCTAAGACACTTGACTGCTAACCAGAAAGCTGGCGGTTCAAACCCACCAGCCACTCCTCAGAAGGAAGGTTGGGCAATCTACTTCTGTAGTGATACTGCCTCAGAAACCCAAGGAGGGTTTGCTATGAGTCAGGTCCGACTCGATGGCACATAACAACAAAAACAAACTAGAGGATCAGTGAAAAAGGGGAGATGGATTGACACAGCAGACTCTAACATGACAACCATTGTGAGGATGGCACAGGACCAGGCAGTATTTTGTTTTGTTGTACATAGGGTTACTATGAGTGGAAATAGAGTTGATGGCATCTAACAACAACATTACAAATTTATCCCTTAATTATCCCCTCCCCTACCTCCATTATCCAACATTTTCCTTTTAGAGATAAAGACTATGAATAAGTTGAACTTTTCTGTTCAGTAACTACTCTTTAAGACATCCACAGCAGGGTTCATCAAGCTTTTTTGTAAATTTTCCAGTGATAAAATTTAATATTTTTATTTATTTTTGGTTGTATGATGTTTTGGAATGCTCCTTAGAAGTGAGAATCGCCAGACTTTGTCTCCCATACTTTGGTCATTTTATCAGGAGGGATCAGTCTCTGGAGAAGAAAATCATGCTTGGTAACGTGGAGGGTCAGTGAAAAAGGGTAAGATTCTTAAGATGGCTTGATACTGTGGCTGCAGCAGTGGGCTCAAGCAAAGCAATGATAGTGAGGATTACACAGAATCATTCCATTCACAGAATCGGTCATTATTTCATTTTTGTTGTACATAGGGTGCTATTAGTTGAAAGCAACTTGGTGGTACCTAACAACATACACTGTTTGTTGCAACTACTCAGTTCTGTTGTTGTAATATGGAAGTAGTCATAAAAAATATGTGAAAGAATAATCATGGTATGTTTCAGTAAAAGTTCATTTCTAGAAATAGACCACATGCTGAATTTGGCCTGATCATTGCTGTAGATCAGTGCTTTAGCCTGCAAAAGAATCATCTGGAGACCTTGTTAAAAAAAGATATGGGCCTATCCACCCATAATTCTGATTTTCTAGCTTGGGATAGGGCCCATGAATTTGTTTTTCTAACAAGCTCATGGATGATGCATAAGCAGCTAGCCTAAGGACTATACTTTGAAAACTACCACTTTAATGACTCATCCAGAAATACACAGCTTTGAGGCATAGTTTTTTAGATTTTTGCTTTAAAATCAACTCTCATGTTTTAATGAGGCTACATTGAACAGAGCTTCCAATTTTGTAGGAAGAAAACAGAAGGATATAATTTTTAAGTGATATAAAAGTTAATATTTGTGGTTATAATTTCATTGGTTATAATTCCATCTTCAGTTAACAAAGAAAGATCCCTGGCCATATGAATTAGAAACAGAAAGAAATACAAAAGATAAAATGAGAGATTTTTTACCAAAACCAAACCCATTGCTGTGGAATTGATTTCAGCTAATAGTGACCCTGTAGGACAGAGTAGAACTGTCCCATATGGTGCCCAAGGCTGTAATCTTTTTGGAAGCAGACTGCCGTACCTTTCCTGCAGAGCAGCTGGTGGAGTCAAACTTTGAACCTTTTATTAGCATCCAAGTGCTTAATAGGATGATAGACCATCACAGTATTGTATCTGAGATGTACACAAAACAATTGTTTATTTAAAAGTATTTTGTTTTTAATTATTTGTTGATCAGTGAACTGTGTTTAAGAATTTTATATCCAACATGATAGCTTTTCACCTTTATAGGTATCTGCAGGTTCCATATCCACTGCAACAACAGGGCTTCTTAAAAGTTTTGAGAGGATATAAAACAGACGTGTGACTCAAACTCCTCTTTCGTTAATTCTAGTTATTATTCAAGTGAAACCAATACTTTTAAAGCTAATCAGGCATATATATCATTTTTAGATATAGGAGCACCATGTCTAAGGAGCTCTGGTGGGGTAGTGTTTAACATATTTGGCTGCTAAACAGAAGGTTAGTAGTTCAAACCAACCAGTCTCTCTGTGCAAGAAAGATGAGTTAGTCTGCTTCTATAAAGATTTACAGCCTTAGAAATCCAATAAGGGTCACCATGAGTCAGATTGAGTTAATGGGAGTGAGTTGGATATTTTTTCTTTGAGCACCATATCTTAAAATTCTGCATTTATACTTAATAATGGCAGATATCTCTTCTTTTGAGGATACCAAAAGTTTCTTTTGTTGACCATGCAAAGTGCCACTCCTATTTCTTTATTATTGTCTTTAAGTCATGATTATTAAATATATATATATATAATACATATACACATACACATGCTTACATATGTATGTTAGTATGTGCATTCTTTGTATTTCCAGTATTTCCTATAATTAGAACTTGAGGAAAAAAATTATTTGTTCACAAAGCTATAGAAATTGAAATACTAAATTATTAATTATTTCTCATGGAACTAGTCATAAGTTGTCAGTTACTATCTGATTTTTCTAAGTATCCTTTGAACAGTTTTCTTTCAAAAAGGTTGAAAAATGTGTATATATGGAATATAGAGAATATATCAAGAATTTAAAAATCTAGTTTGTGTTTCTGTCTCTAACTCTACATGACCTTCAAGAAGTCACTTATCCAGTGTAATTATCATTTGTAAAATGATCATTTTGATTAGATGATCCCTTCCTACTCAGAAATTCTGTACTTTTTTTTCTTTAATTCTTTTCAACCCTTCTGGTTTTGGTTGTGTAGTTGTGCTTTGTTCTTATTTTTATTTTGACATTTGATCACACAGTATTGAATTAAATATGAGTACTTCAGAAATTTTTAGAAATAGAGATATGAAATAATAATAAGGTTTATAGTTACCAGCAGTGTAATTTTTAAATCATGTAAGTACATTTGTAATATTCTAAAAAGATAAATACAAGCACATCATTAAATTCATATTACCTAGCTCTGGTAACACGGTGCTTAAGGCATTTGAGTACTAACTAGAAGGTTGGTGGTTCAAACCTACCAGCATCTCCATGGAAAGAAGATAGGGCAGTCTATTTCCATAAAGATTTACTGCCTCAGACACAGTGGGGTTCACGATGAGTCGGGATTGACTCAGTGGCAGTGAGTTTTGGTTTTGTGTGTGTGTGTGTGTGATTGGGGTGCAGATTTACAGAGCAAATTCACTTTCCATACAGCAGTTTACATATACTTTGTTGTCTCATGTCATTGAGCACAGTTTACCACAGTGCAACAACTCCCCTCCCACTTCCTCCTCATAGGTACCTCTTCCCAGTGTCCCTCCTTCCATACACTCCTGCCCCCTGAGCTGTCTCCCTGTGCATAAGCAGCCCTTCTTTCTCCCATGATTGTTCTCTCCAAGGAATGTATCTACTTGAGGTAAATGTTCAATTCATATGCCTGTATTTTGTTTGGCTGGAAACCACAAGTGTGGGTTCAATTCCAGACCTTAAGGGCAGCTAAGGTCCATAGTCTCACT